TTCAGGGATTATTTTCTTAGCCTCGTAACTTGCCCCACTACCAAACCCCTGCCTTCTCTGTGCTGAAAGTCACTAAATGTGGAGTGCAGATGACTAAGGCATTTTATTTTTATAAGCATGTAAGTAACAAACAATGGTTGATTTAACATATTGATTTTTAGAAAACAAAAATTTTTCTGTTGTGGAATTAGTGGCTCCCCCGACTCGAGTGCTGTACCATCCAACTAGCTTGTACAGTCCCTGATTAAAAATGACTGCACTTCTCAATGTTACACAATAGCATCAATTTATTTAATAACATCTTATGCTGGTTTTTTTTCTCTCCAGAGACTCTTAACTGAAATTTTTCAGTAAATATGAAATTTTTATGTACTCTACTGCAAAGCTTCTGGGTTACAATTTGAGAGTTATATCTATGCAAAGCCAGGCTTACACTTGGCTCTGTAAACCTGTCTACAAACCCTTCTGTAAAATTTCAGTGAAATACAACTTGGTGTTGCAAACATGCAAAGTAGTTTTATCTTTTGAACACCTTGTACCTCAAGTGTCCCACTGAAATGTCCCACTCGTGTTTGGTTTCCTGCCGCTCATGCCTGGGAGCAGCCAGGCTGCAGGAAGAGGTATGTGACTGGCTCGCAGGAGAAGCCCTTCGTTAAGGTTGCAAGTTGTAATCTCTCAATTTGGCACTTCAGCAAGGAAGAGGAGGAGTGGGGGGCTTTTCTGTGACACAGAACCCTACAAATTACCTGGTTTCTGAACAAAACATGAGGGAGCAAAACCATAGTGTGTTAATTATCTGTTTGGGTCAGCCGCACTTCCAGCCCTGCGACCCACCGCCTGGCAGGTGACTTGGCTGTCTGCAGGCCAGCAGCCGTGCTCTGGGCTGTCCCCTGACTCACAGGAGAGGCACTCGCTGTCCCAAGGGTGCTGCTGTGGCTGTGGGCATGTCTGTGCAAGGATCACAAGTACAGGGTGGCTGGAAAAGAACAGCCATTCCAGCGAGTGTGTCCTCAGTCATGTGGTCATTTATTTTAAAACGTCTGCTCCTGGTTGAAGTTCATTTGTACACCTTTGGTCTCCCTGTGTCCTAGGCCTCTTTCTTTTCTCCTGATTCAGCAGTCTACTTCCAAAATAAAGAAATCCTGGTGTTTTGAGCAAGTTTTGCAGCTCACTTCTTAACTGCAATGCCTTCTTCCCCTCCTGTGTTTGCCTCCTGTTCAGATATAAGCCATAGATGAGCTGATCCTCCATCCCACTGCTCAGCAGGCTGGAGTAAAACTAATGGGCACAGAGCAGTATTTCTCTAATGCTTTACTGATCTTGCTTCTAATGAGTGTGTGAATCCACCATTTGCAGTTCAAATGTATCTATACTGTGGATAATCTGCTTTTTCTGACTTTGATTAACTCTTAATTCATATTCAGGGCTGTCAATCTTCTCTTGCCCTCCCAACCCTGATGACAGAGCATAAAGATCTTACACCACTTAGAGAAGTAGCTGGACGCTTGTGCCTTGGCTTTCCCAGTTTAGTGCTAGGTATGTGAGAATATTGAGTTCAATTTATTGCTGCCTGATGTGCTTTCTGAGGCTGGAGGCAGGATGCAAACAAAGTGTTAGGGTGCTAGTCATGTATAACCTTTGGTACAGTGCTTGTTCTTTTATTGCCACTCGTCATACGCGGCTGCTGAAGAGTGAGCAAACCCTTCTGCAATCCAGCTGAGAGAGGATTTCCAGTAGTTAGGTTTTTCAGATTGCTGTAGTATAATGCACTGCTTCAGGCACCCCTCATTCTTTGCTCTTAGCTTTCTACCAGCTGACATCAAAGTGACATGTGAAATATCTATTGAACTGTCAGTATTTTTCCTCTATTTTTGTTGTTCTTCCTGCTGTTATTGCAGACTCTGATAATGCAGCGTGCTGGAGGCGATGTGAGTTAATAGGGTGATTACCTCAGCAAGAATGGTATTTTAGTTGTTGTAAAGTGAAGTGTTGTTTGGATATCTTCCCTCTGAATCAAGGCTGTTTGCTCTTTCGGCTGCTAGGTGCAGATCTAAAAGCTATTGTGCTCCACCCTGTCTCACTGTAGCTTACATATGCAGTTTGAAACAGAAACAAGTGTGCAGAATTTACTGCCTATAAAAAATAAGGTGATACGTAAAGGATGAAGTGTCTCTTTCTGTATTTAAGAGTTTGGGACAGCTAGATAATGGGGATTGATTTATAATACAAAAAGAAAGCCTTTTGGGGTAGTAGGTGCCACACTAATCCTGATTTTTATTTCTTCTCCCATTTTGAAAATGAAAGGTGAGGGGAAGGACTGCAGAAGTGAGGGATCAGCTGAGCAAAAGGTAACCACAAGGAGGGCTGTATCTGAGATATGCTGTGCTGTGTGCACTGTAAGTAGTAACTGCTGTGAAGATGGAGAGCATTTGATCAATAGTAACAAAAGAGCTTTGTCCTCGTTCATGTTCAAAAACTACCTGCTCTTCAGCAATCCTGCTAATGTTACAAGAACTTCATTAAACTGGGCTCTTCAGGCAGCTGACCTAAGCATCCTGATGGGAGTAGGAAAATCAGTCAAAGTCCAGATCACAACCAGGGTAAAGAAGAGTGGTGTGATTTATGGGGAAAGATGCACATTCGTTGTTTTGTTTCCTGGCATATCTCAGTTTGCTTTTAAGTTTCTGTGAGAGAGGGAGGAGTAACAAGATGCCTTGGAGTCAAAGCAAGATGAACCAGTATACCATCCATTTCACTTTTGGCTGGGAGTACAGGTGAGTTAGAATTGTCTTGCCTAATATCTTAGCAGGCAGAGGGGTACCTGGCCATCACAGAAAGCCTCAGTACTATAAATGAGAAGCTGTGCTTGAAGAAAGTCTTCGGACACAGAGAAACAGATGCTGGCTAGTGGAGGAGAAAGCCAGGAATTCTCCTAGCTTCACAGACATCTGAAGAAGAGTTGGTGAGGCAGGCAGAGCAAAAAATAAAATTCCTGCATCCCCACTGTTTTTGCAACTCCCTGCTGCTCCTGGTGCAGACTCTGTTACAATGGGTGACTTCTGTAAACAACCTGGTTTTTGTAAACATCAACTGGGAAAACTAAAGAACTATGTTCCAGCCACTGGCCTGACCCTGTGGCTACTTCACTGGTTTGGATGGACTCATGGGCCTTTCTGAGAACTGCCAGGCATGCCAATAGTAACTGTGCCTTATGCTCTGAGCACCAAATGAGAGTAGGGAATTGCTGAGCTGCTTTTAAACACGTTTTGAACACATAATCTTAGTGTTTCTGTTGCTGTGACTCATTGAAAATAGATTGCAAGATCAGTATATAGTGCTTTAATTGGCATGAGCTGTGTATGTGAGTGAGGGATTTGCACGGAGATCAGATGCTATCAGTTCCCAGGTATGTCATATTTGCACAGTGTGTAGTAGTTGTTTTGAAATCTGGGTCATGCTTCCGTTGAATTCTTTTAACGAGACCTGCAGGTAAGGGTGTGCTGCCTTCCCCTTTCAGAGCCTGAACACTGCCTCTGAAGAGAACCATCATGTATGTTTGTATACACAGACACTGGGCAGTCAATCTTGGGGGGGTCCGGAGGGGGGGAGAAGTGAACAGAAAGATCTTTCTGATCTTTTTATTAACGTGAAGGGTTTTCACTGCAGTGAAAAAGGATCTTGATTCTTAGTCTGCTTCATTCTTCTGGAAATCTAAACTCCATCCAGACCTGGTTAATCTTGCTTGAAACCTGCTCAGAGTGAGATGTGCAGGCTTGAAGTGGTACCTTTTGGTTTCCCTGTTCTTTAAAGGGCAGGGAATTTTGTCTACAGTAAATCCCTTAAGTGTAGAGGTCCCAAGGCAGTGTCTTGCTCTTTGCTGTGTTGCTATAGCCATATTGCTGTGCTGTATGCCTCATTCCCCCAGCCTCTCAATTAAAAACAACAGAATTTCTTCAGCAATCTTCTCTGAATTTTCTTTCTCAGAAGCATAAAGAGCGTGACAGTAGAGCTCATGCAGGAGGGCATCTCAAACTGTGTTGGAGACTTCATCACCAAATGTATTAGGAACTTGGGAGTAGGATGACTTCTGCAGGTGAAGAAGGATTGATGTCTGTTAAACGCCATCTGACAGATCTATGACTAACTGGAAAATATAACCTCTTCTACATCCTTACTTTTGAATGTCAGGATTACCCAGAAACTTGAATAGGTAGATTATCCAGAACATGAAGGCAGAAATAGGACTCTACGTCAGAGAACTGAAAATCATCTTTACTTGACTGCAGTTTTAAAGTTGTTGTGGTTGGCAGCTAGAAAAATCTTTACACTTGTTGCAACAACCTCTGTTTAATGATGTTTCTGACTTAGTATGCAGATATCACAGGTGTACAGTGTCCCTTGCAGAGGATCATTAGCGTGGTTTCTGGGACTTTGCCTGTAATTTTGCAAATGCCATGAAGTCGTTTGATGTTCCAGTCTTATTTTGTAAGTAGTATCGCTGTACCCAGGCGTGGCTTATTGGTGCTTATCTGTAGTCACTGGAGTTCAGTGCTTCTTGTTTGCAGACATAAGGAACCAAGGAGAAGAGGAAGGGTCTACAGATAGTATTATCTGTTGGGATGGCTTTAACAGCTATTTCATTGCCAGATAATGTCTTAAACACTACTGAAGAAGAGGGTAAGCAGATTTAAATGATTCAGTTCTAACTTTACTAGCATTTTCCATACCAGCAATTGTAAGGATTTGCCAGGCTCTGCTGTAGACGATGAGTTAAGCAAAATCTATAGATTTAATGAAGATTGTAACCATCCAAATGGTGTCTCGTTAACCTCTTACTCCTGGTTGCCTGACTTTGTGTATTCAGATCGGGTAAATCTCATGTAGTTGTAAGTACCTAAGTTAGAGGTAGATAAACAAGGAAACTTGTAAAACAAGTATAAAATGTGAATACATCAGTAAAAATGCTTTTGTATATCTAACTGTCTCTCTCCTCATTCAAGTTGCAGGAGTTATCACGGCTGACTTTCTGTCAGGATTATTTCACTGGGGAGCAGATACCTGGGGATCTGTGGAGCTACCCATAGTTGGAAAGGTTTGAGATTCTTATCCTTAAGCTTGAAAAAGTTATGAAATACTTTTCTGAAACACTTTCAGCATTCCCAGCAGTGTTGGGCACTGTAGATAAGCTGCACCTTTCTTGCAGTCTTGCCAATGTAACCAACTCCCCCACCCCCAGAACCCTCCTTCACTAAATGGCACAGGATATTGTTGGTGAAGTGCCATGTTTACGCTTGGCCTAGGTGACATGTGCAAGGTGACACTGTTCCATTTTATTGCCTTGTTTAAGGTTTGCACACAGTTTTGCAATGCCAGTGTTCAGACCTTTGCAAGGTACTGTGGGAACAGCCTGTGACACCGCAGGCACAGAAACCTGGCTAGACTTGTGTGGATCTTCCAAAAGGCCAATAAACACAGAGATGTGGAGAATTGTTCCTGTAGCCCAACTCTCTAAAGCTATCTTGTAAACCTGAAGATGCTCCAGTAAGAAATCTTTCTAGTTCTCTGTGCTACTGGCCCCTATTGTAAATGTAGTAGTATTAGAATGGTGATGGCTGAAGATTTAGATTTGAGATGTATTATACATCTGCAGCTACAAATGCCAGATGCTTAGTGGAAGGTGCACTGACTTCTATAATAAGCAATAATCTGTTTTTTAAAATAAAGTTATTCATAACTACTGTTAATTATTCATCACAGTGCAATATTAGAAGGATCTCTATTACAAAAAAAAAAAGTATACAGGATATTCCTTGTAATTATCCAGAAATGCATGAAGCAGAATTAAGACTGTTGGGTCTAGGCTGATTTTGATTTACCTTCAATAGCCTTAGTAGTCCTTGAATTCCTCTATCTGTGGACCATAGGTTGTTTTTTTTTAAAAAAAAAGACACTGCAGGAGGCTGTACACTAAATCACCAAGAGTTCAGACTGATCAGGGCACCCTTGCACAGGCTGTACCTGATGTATGTGTTAAAGGCAAACAAGTATGCTTGTTTTACTGTCTCAGTCCTACTTATCACATTTGCTCTGTCTCCTCTGGAATTGTGTATTCAGATGTGATTTCTTCTCCTAGAGGAGACTTTAGTATAGTCTGTGACTTACATTAGTTTGTCCACTTGCATTTAGTCCCTCAATACTGTAATCCATAGCCCATACAAAACGTTAGTCTGAATTTCCTTTTTTTTTAGCATTTTCTTGTATTATGCTGCTTAGCATGTGACTTGTTTAATTTCACAAGCTTATTTTGTCTGTGAAATTAGGATGCTGATGCTTTGCTTTTGAGATCTAGAGACTAAAGGTTCTAAGTGAAAATTAAGAAGAATAAACTGAAAAGCAATGAAAAAACTAGACTAGATTTGGGTCTGGGAACTGAATTGCTATGCAAATGTAAATCAGATTTTCTGAAGTGTTTTTATACAAAGGTTTGAACCTGCTTACATGCTTCGTACCGTGGAGCTCTCTTAAACTCAGTTATCAGATTTGAATGCATATGGGGTTTGGTTTGGGGTTTTTTTTGTATTTTTCTTTCCAAGGTCATTGTTGAGCCATGCTGACATGTTCATGACTTTGTTTTTTCAGGCTTTCATCAGACCCTTTAGAGAACATCATATCGACCCCACAGCAATTACCAGACATGATTTTATAGAGACCAATGGAGACAACTGCTTCATGACACTGGTCCCGTTGGCAAACATGGCATACAAATTTGTTTCTTTTTCCCCAGGTAAGTTGTTACTTCTGATTTAGGTGGATTTAGCATTTTTGTTGATATTTAAATGAACATTTTTCTGTGTGAGTCTAGAAGAAATCAATTCATTTGAGATGACAAATAATATCTGTTGGAAGGATGATGCTCCTGGGAGGAGAACTTTTATTTTCTTGAGGAGGCAAAATTTTTGTTCAGCCTGACAAAGGATCTGTGATTGAAGAGTCTTGCAAGGAAGCACTAAAAGTTACATTAAATAGTTTTTTTTATGAGAGGGATCAAACTGTTTGTGTATAGGGAAATTAATTGTTTTAAAGTATACTTCATCTGTGTGTAGCAGTACTTTATTTGCAAAGTAGAAGTGTAAGAATGAAAGGATTTATTTAGTTTTATAGATGGTAAACTCAGACTTCTAACTTCCTGTTTATGGTGAGTTGATGGACATTGGCACTTACCAGCCTGTCTTGTGACTTTCTGCAATTGCCTGTGGCTCACTGGCTCTCATGACACTTCTGCCAAAGCAGCTTCATTGAGGCCTTTGTTAGTTTCTGCAGCACTAGGCAGCTCTGTCTTGGCAAGACATCATTTCTTGATAGAAGTTTATCTTTTCATAAATGGTATCTAAAGATTCAAATCTTGTTTTACAGAGGCATTATATGAAACGTGTCCTTGGGAGTGTTATGTCTTTGCCCTCATCATCTTCATAACCATGACGAACCAGATTCACAAGTGGTCTCACACGTACTTTGGTCTTCCACGCTGGGTCGTGTTTCTACAGGACTGGCACGTTATCCTGCCACGGAAGCATCACAGGATCCATCATGTATCTCCACATGAGACGTACTTCTGCATTACAACTGGTACTGCCATCTGCTTCGAGCTGCAAGCTCTTTTCAGTAGTCTAGTGCAGTTCACCTGGCAAGATATAATTTAGTGACAGCCTATTAAATACCTAGAAAATGCCACGGTGAAGTGAACTGTGCTCTTAGTTTCACTGAGAGCTTGTGCAGCTTAAATGTGGGGGAAAGATTTGTGATTGGCTACAGGGTAACTTTTAGCATGAAGGGGTGGTCAGTGGTACTGAGATACAATTGCATGGTATCTTGGTAATCTCACACTAGTAACGGATTTTCTTCATTGAAGTCTTCAAGCTGCTGTTCTTTCAGAAGAGCATATCATCTGAAAATGCAACTTACCTTGAATTCTCATTTATAAATGAAGGCTTCTGCATTTTCAGCACTCATTCATTCTGATTTGGGGCAGAGGAGTGGACAGGCTTGCAGAAAACTGGCTTTAGGTTCCTCTCATATGTATATTGAATTTTATGTCCACTGTACAGGTGGGTCTGTTCGGTCACCAGTGTTGCACAATCCTGAATAAGTTATCAGGTTAATCAGACATGCAGAAATAAACTACTTCGGTTCTTCATTCTGTCATTGGTGTTAACAAACAGTTTATATCAGTTTTGAAATATCTGCCAAGAAAAAAAACTAGTTCTCATGTCCAAAATATCATGTAAAAACACGGTACAATTAAGAAGCCTGACTTCACAGATGGTGGCAAAAATGTTGCCACCCTAAGAGTTTTTTTCAGTCCTACTATGTCCTGAAAGTTTAAACCTGACTGCTATAAGCAGCCTTGGGCTAGTTGCTTTTTTCTCATGAAAAAAAAAACCAAAACACAAAAACACGTGCTTCTGTTCACTCTGCCTTCTGTAAGTGTCCACACCATACTAGTCTGACATAACACAGCATGATAGATTGTATACTTGAATTTTCCAGTGGAGGAAAGTGTTTCTGCAGCCCTAATTCTCCTAGGGCAGAAGTGAGGGGGAAGACAGAAATATGCCACCAATGTACTATTTAAAAGGGGCCTCTAGTGAGTTAAACAGAATTAGTTATTGTAACGCACTTGTTAGTGCCTTAAGGGTGCACAGCAGAGTCCAAAGAGCGTACTTGGTTTCAGAGCTGACCTGTGTACGTAAAGGTCCACCACTGTAGCATTGCCAGGGAAGGTGTCAGATAACAGAGCTTTCTGGCATTCCCAATGTTAAAGCTTTTGGACTGACTGCCATTTTTAGACACCAGGAAGGAGTCGTCCATTCCTTGAGGCGCGACGGCTGTGTTAATGAGAATTGCATGAGCTGACTTCCAAAAGGGCATCGGTAGGCAGTGAGTTGAGCAGAGCTGCAGGATTGCAGGTGGGCTAGGAAAGGTCATGTCCATCTGCAGACAGTGCCTGACAACAGTGCCTGTGTCAACAGGTTTGTTAAAGTTCCAGTGTCTAAGAGCAATCCATCTCTCTAGCAATGTGGTATTTTTCAACAGCAAATACCCTGAATGTTCTCTCCCTTTAGTATTTCTCTCCCATAATATCTACACACACCAGCTAAGACATCACCAGAAAGAAGAGTTGTTTTCCTTCTGCTGGCTGTGTCACCACTGTAGTGATGGCACTTGGACCTGGCAGTGTTCCAGCCTGGCTTGTGCTATCCAGTGCTTTAGCTATCTCTTTCCTCTAACGTGAACCACTGCTGCTAGCTCACTGTTTCCATTGCAGTAACAATATCTTCAGTCCTGCCTCTCCTTTGGTTTTGTTTTCTTGCACTTTTTTCCTTTTCCTAGAAATGTATATGGAGTAAAATATAACATGTACTTACAGAACAGTTCTGTAAATGTGGGATAACTAATATAACCCAGTACACATCCACCTCTTCTTGGTTGTAGAAAAACTTCTACAGGGAAATAACATTTCCCAGTGATGATTTGTTTTGATTTTTCCTAGTTACTGCAATATTTAATAAAACAGAGGTCTAAAGTTCCTATAAATACATTGTATTAAACCCTGTGTAAAACCCTGTGAAATTGCCTCTTCATGCACTCTCCTGTCAGTTATATGTAGTTAGATTGGCATCAAAGTACAGCATCAGAAAATCAAGTTAATATACTAATTAATATCCTAAAAGTGAGACCCAAAGCCCTCCTGAATTCAGGGTGAGGCATTCAATGTACCCGAAGTCTGTAGGCTAGGAAAGGTGCATTCACCTCCTGTTGCATGTAGAACATGATGGCACTTACTGCCATTTTTACATAAAATGGTAAGAAACTGGCCCCTCTCAGCCTGTTGGCAGCCTTTCTGGGTACTGGGAAGCAGGAGTGCTGCGAGTTGCAGACCTTTGGGTGTGTGCTGCTAGTGGTGCTGCCCTGTTAATCCAGGGAGTGTCCAACATCAGCTACCGTTAAATGCAGCGTGGTACTACAAGATTTCCCCATCACAGGCTTCATCAGCAATCAGTTATGCAAACTTTAATGTTTGCCCAGGGAGAGCATAGTACATTTGAGTACCTTAAAAATTAAAATTGATGTTGGAACTATTTAAACTTGAGGCTTTATTTAAGAAAAAACTGTTTACTTTGCTGAGCCTTAGTTAGTGGTGTTTAGATCCCAAACAGAAATCTTGATATTTTTTTAAAAAATATTATTTTTTAAATTATTTCTTTATTTCTAGAAACTGTGGCATTGGTAATGTATTTGAGATTTCAGAGCCATATTGTGTGTATTTACTTTCTTACTGTACTGTCTAATGAGAAACACGGGGAAAAGCTGAGCTGGCTTTGGTGATGGGCAAACTAATTGGGGCAGGGGGGGTGGAACAGCTGAAATTGTTGGGTTGGGGTTTTTGGTTGGTTGTTTAAATTTCAATACTGAATCTAAGGTGCTGCTAATACAAATGTCTTGATCCTAACACAAATCGTTCAACTTGATGGTCCCTTTTCTGGTAGCTTTGCAATGGCCATAAAGTAGTCCACCTCTGAACACCCCTTGCATTCACCTTGTGTTTAATTTAAAGAATGTTATTAAATAAACATTGCAAGATATTGAATTTTGGATGCTATGAGAAACTAATCCTTTTTTTCTTCTGCAATTGCTTAGGTTGGCTGAACTATCCATTAGAGAAGATAAGATTCTGGAGGTGTTTGGAGAACATTATCCAAGGAGTTACTGGGGAGAAGCCAAGAGCAGATGACATGAAATGGGCTCAGAAAATTAAATAACTTTTGCCAGCCTTCTGCAATCCTTAACTTGTTGCCAATGTTGTTGTTTTTTTAAAAAAAAAAAAAATAAAGCCATCAGCCAAATTCAAGACCTGCAAAGAAATAACAGACTCTAAAGCACAAACTAAAAAGTGCTAACACAGACTGTAATGAAAAGAACTAATTCTTAAAACAATACTTGAAATGAAGATGATTACTCTTACTGAGCACCTTTTTGTTTAGCCATGTCTGCTTACATCTTAGCAAATACTTCATCAGTGTATCTCATAAGGCTATTGGGCAAGCCAGAAGGCAGGACTGTCACTCCATTGGTACGTGGTGGCGTAGTAAACGTGTGTTGTATCAACATTATTTAACAAAATTATTCAAAAATAACTTGTTGCCTAAGACCTATAGGGGGAATGGTGACAACAGTTTGTCACTTTGTGTTTGAGTCCAAATACACTGCATGAAAACAGTGTGTCAGAGTAATGGAAGCCTATAAAATCATGACTGTTCAATGCACTTAGAGCTGTAAGTTTATCATTCATTATCTTAGCTATCATGTTAAATCTAATTGATGTAATATGGAACAGACTTCGAGAATCCCACTCCACCAGTGGGCCACGAATCCTCAAGTGTCTTCAGTTTCCTTTAAAATAAAATTGTTCTACTCTCTACATGGAATTAAGCAAACCATTTCTGCATAAGCCTTCAACTTAACAAGCCTGTGAGGAGAGGGAGGGCACCCAGTACAACACATAATTGTGTTTGTTCATGTGGAGCACTCACTTATGAGTCTTCTATAAAGTGTTTCCTACCCTGACTATAAATGTTTAAAATAGTTCTAGCATTGAGCACATTGCAAATAGCTGTATTCAAGAGCTCAAGGTATCAAACTTGTAATGTTAGAAGGGAAATGTCAATGACTGGTGTTTTGGGGTTTTTTTTGTTGTTTTTTTTTAAGGTGCTTGCTTGTTTCTGTAAATAATATAAAGCCTTAATCTCTTCTGGTGTAATGGAATAATATTTTAATGTGATGTTTGAATGTATATATTTATAACAAAGCAGTTGGATAATACTAATCATGTTTATTAAGTCTTGTTGCTGTTCTTCATTTGTGCATTCTCAGCACTTAGTCCAAGAACTTGATCACTGGTTGCAAAATGCTTGATGCTATTCCAACTACCTGAAACACCTTGCAGCCTGTTAAGTCTTGTTGAGATTGAAGTGATCACTTGTTTTTCAGCTTCGTAGGAGCTTGACACTATTACATCAGGCTTCAATAAGTGCAGGTAATTCTGCTTTGAAGGCTAAGGAGTTATTCTGCTGGACTGGGGGAGGGAGTTCCCCTAAGAACATCCAACAGGCACTTCATGTCAAATCTAAGACTGTTTTCACTTCCCTAGTTGTAAATTGTGTTGAATTCAAACTGTGTTTTCCTGAAGTGTATGATAAGGGGATTTTGAGTCATGGGTTTAGACTAACCTTGGTCTCAACTTCTTCAGGTATGATGGACCACAGCTTTTTAAAGAGTTGGGGCTTGGCAACTCTCCTTCAGTGGAAGTGGCTGAATGCAGACATGTTTGAGCTGGGTTCTACAGATTAAAATTGAAGAAGGTACCTTGGTTGCAAAATATTTAACACGTTTGAATGATTCAGACCCTTGGAGAACTTTATACCATTACATGAAACTATTGTCTGCTCCAGTTGTCACAGTCACTGTCGAGTCTCTGTGTAGCTTTGACAGTGAAAAATACTTCTACTTCAGTAGGGGTCTCTAAATGCACTTAGTTAAAATGGGAGGAAGAGGGAGGAATACTCCTTAAATGCTGCTATTGTGGAAGAGGTGTGTGTGATTTTGTGCTGTCTTTGGTGAAAAGAGCAGTTTGTCCCTTGTTTCTCCCACCCATGCCATCACAAGCCTTGGCAGAGAAGGCCACATATAAGAGCATAGAGGGGAGTAGCCAGGAGATTGCAGGTTTGGTTAGGGAAGATTGCTGCAAGCTGGCAAGTTCTCTGTTAATTATTGCCTACTTCTGCCAGATCTGGGTGTTAAAAGAGGTTTGATTCTGTGCCAAACCTGTTGGCACAAAGCTGTTCCTATTAATTTTATCTCTACTTGTTTTAATTTTTCAGGCACTGACTGTTTAGCTCTATATTAAAAAAAAAATTGAGATGTGAATATAAATTTGGGTGGGAAGAAAGGTAACTTGCAGTACCATGGAAGTCACTGTGGTGATCATGACTGAATCAGTTAAGTTAGATCTATTAATATTTGCTATTTGTGGCTAAAACTTACTCTAAATTTATTTAGTCTAATGGGTGATGAACTGAATATATGCTGGTGAGGTGGGGATGCAAAGTCCCATGTGTCCAGAGCAAAGAATGCTTCTCCTCCCTCCCCTTGCAGTGTGAGTGTCTTGCAGTTTGAGAGCTGTAGGAATGCTTAGGAAACAACACCTACTGCTGTGAGTGCAAAGAACTGCTGTAGTTATTTCTGCCATCTTGACAAAGGTTTTAATTCATGCCTGCTTCTACCTTGAGACTCCCATAGTCCATATTCTAACAGATTTGTGGTCCTTAGTTGTCTGTCCCTCCTGTCCTCATCACTTTCTTCCCCTTTCCCTCCCGCTTGACCCCAGTTTAAGTAAACCAGTGTCAAAGCCCAGTACAGAACTGGATGGGTGCTCAGAACTCCTGTGTAAAACAGCCTTAACCGCTAAGTCCTTGAGAGCTCATCTCTTACTGCAGATTTAAATGCCAAGTGAACAGCAATAGTGTCGTGCATATAACAAATGGATTTGAAACACATAAATTACTAGAATTTGTACTTTGAGAGTGCTGTTAAAGGCAATTGCTGTCACCCAGACCTCTCTCAGCCACTTGATTTACAGTCTTACTGGAAACAAATCTGAGCTACTAATACTGGTGACTGCTGGGCCTATCTTGTCTGTTAATCTTGCTTAATTATGCGAAACTGGGACAGCAGTTAATCTCTGGATGCTGTTTTGCATGCTGGTGCTGTGCTCCACTCTTGAGGCAGCTCTCGCTCAGAGTGACTCAACGCATCGGCCGTGGCTGGCATCTCCCAGGGCCCTGCGTTAATGTCACTGTTCATCATGGCAAGGGGCACGGCACGGCCTGTGAGCAAGTTCTGGTTTTATTATCCTTCATCTTTCCCTCCCTGCTGTAAATTGAGGTGTCTGCTCTTTGGAGGAGAGTTAATGAATGCTGGTATGAATTGCCTTGGGTTTTGGTCTTCAGTTGGTTTCTGGAAACTGTTCCACCTATTTAAAGGAGTGGATGCTTCCAAAAAATCAATATGGCAATTCTGGAGCAAAAGGCTATGTAGATCCTTCTTAACAGATGCAAATCTGGCTTAAGATAAATTTGTTTTAAGTTGATTAGGAACAGATTAGAGCTAAAGCAGAATAAGGCACTCCTTTAAAACTCCACAGTGATGGTGCATCTCAGTTTAACTAAATGCTTTTAAAAGCTGTCTGATTTCAGTCTGTCACTTCCACAGAAAGATGTGGTCAGTCTCCTGCTTCCTGGACCTTCAGAAGAAGGTCTTTCAGGCCTTCAGCTTCTACCAAGTCTGTAGTTGTCCTCCAGTAAGGCAGATACTTGAGGTAAAGCGAAGGCCTGGCAGGAGCAGATCTGTTTCTTTACGTGTACCTGTGGCGTTTCAGAGATCTGACAAGCAGAGCTGTCTGGGGACTCGCCTGCAAGGGGAGGCATTGCACTGTGGTCACTGATGAAAATTACTGCCAAGTGCCTTAAACTCCCACTTGGCCTTTTCCTGAACAGCCGTGGGTGGCGTGGGAAGGTGGTGAGTCCTCAGCACAGCCTGACCAGCTGGGCTGGGGGTTTGCTTTGCAGGTCCCACGGACGCATTTCAAACTGGTCAGCTTTCTGGTGTCTCTCAACTTCTCAAATTTTGTTTCATTTTGCTGCTGGATCAAGTTATCTGTTCACTCCTCTGCAGCCTTGACCTGTCTGCTGACTCTGTGAAATACTGGGAACAAACAAAGAGGAAACCCTTCTCAGAGTTAGTGTTTGCTGGAACAAATGTGAGGCAGTGACACTGCAGAAGGAAAGGGGGTACTCGCCAAGCCTCAAGACCACGAGTGCATTGACAAACGTTTGTCTTTCTTGTGTGTGGTTTTTTTTTTTGTTCCTGCACTATTTAGCAAAAGGGAAAAAAAAAAAGCTCAAGAACTCCTCTGGCACACAGATGTTTGCACAAGACGGCAGTGCCAGCAAATCTGTCTGTGTGAGATGGGGCTGAGCTAGGAGGCTTTGGCTCAGGTGCAGTGTCTGCAGTTCTGGACCTAGCAGGCCAGCCTAAAGTGGAAGAGGAGCTCTGGTTGGGAGAAGGTTAAACTAGTCACCCCCTTGCACCCCAAAGCTACCGATGAGAGGGACTCTGGCTGCTCAATATCAAACATCGTTATCCTTGGTGTGCTCAGCAAGGCACTGCCAGGGCTCTCAGCTCAGCTGCCCGCTGGTTCCCCAGCTCCTGGCCAGGTTTGCTGAGCTCTAATGCCATCTAGCTGCTCTGTGCTGTCTTCATCCATCACTGCTCTCAGCCCTGTCTGAGCCGTGGGACGAGATTGAAATGAACTAAAGTCTAACCAGCAAGACCAGCACTGCTATTTTAAAGTAGCTTCAAAGAATAATGGATATAGGACTGGTACCTTGGCTCTGCGTGCTGCTAAGAGCCAAGTCTGTTAAAGTTGATTTAACTGAGTAAATGGCTTAAAATGCAATGGGTCTCCAAAATAGTTTTGCTTTGTAATTGTTTCTGCACATTGTCGTGTGATGGGGCACAGTTTTTGGAATATGTATCGCAAGACAAAGCAGAATTCATTTACCTCTTTTTTTTGTTGTTGTTTCTTATTACTGCATTAACGGGAGAGGGATAAGGGAAGGTGTGTCATTGATTAAAACATGACATGGTTAGATCTTCCTGGTGTTCCTTATGTCTCTTCTAGCTACAGCTCTTCTTGATTCATATCAGCTAATATTTTTCATTGCCACGTATCAGACAGCAGCAGCCCCCTGACACACAA